GAAATCCTAAAGGCTTCAGAAAAAAGAAACTGGACTTCTTTTTTTGGTACATGAGGACAAAAAAAAATACTGTTAAATTAACAGAAAGCAGACAATAAAGTGTCAGAAATCTCCAGCTGCACAAACCTTTCACTGTCACGGTTGCAGAGCTTTCTGCAGTTCCTGCCTGACACGAGTAGCTGCCGCTGTCCTCCGGTGTGGTGTCTTTGATGTGGAGCTGCAGGAAGCATCCGTCCTGCTTCATCTCGTACTTCCTCCCGGCTCTCAGCGGCTGCTTGTTCTTCGTCCACTGCACCGAGAGTCCAGGTTTAGAGACTTCACAGCACAGAGAGGCTGAACCTCCCTCCTCCACCTCCACACCTTTCAAGTCTTCTCTGAAGAACGGTGGGAGCTCTGAGGAAATGAGTCAGGATCAGAAAAACACAATCACACATCTTTAATATAATTAGTAAATATATGAGCTATGACCAGGAGGAGGTGAAACCGTCTTTATCGGGCAGCTACAAATGTACAGCTTTGCAAATAACTACTAGACCACTTGCTGTTTTCTTCTACACAATAGGTCTTCGATATTTTGTTAGAATTTTAACCCAGATTTGAAATAATTATGAACAACATCTTCCAAAAAAAAATTTGCAAACCTAAAAAAGAAAATCCAATATTGCAAAACTGTGCAGCACCATTTTCTGTCTCTTTCTTTGCAACCCTTGGTGGAGAAATCCTGTGTTTTCTTCTTTCCCTCTTTGTTAAAGATAGCAGTCTTGGTGTTATCATGCAATAGGCTTTGAGGAGTAATAATGTAGTTTGCATTATTTGCTGCTTCACACAAAATGATCCATTTAGTGTGAATTTTGATATTTTTACACTGTCAGTGCATCATACTTTCAAGTATAATCTATGGCATGTATTGAGTTATTACAGGATTTTTCTTTTAGAAGATGTTGTAGTTATTTAACCACTGTAGTGAAATTCACATTAAATTATCCACGTTGAAGGCTGTTGTGAAGGCTCTGTAACAGTTGTGGTCTAATTATATCATTTCCAAAGTTGTCCAGTAACCAACACAATAGTTAATTGGACATTAAGACAATCTCTGAAAAGTCTAATTTAATGTTATGTTCCTATCACTAGATTATTCATGAATCCACGCTGCTAAAAGGACAAACCTGTCACTGTCACAGTCGCAGAGGTTTCTGCAGCTCCTGCCTGACACGTGTAGCTGCCCTTGTCCTCCAGTTGGAGCTCGTTGATGTGCAGCTGCAGGAGGCAGCCGTCCTGCTTCATCTCGTACTTTGTGCCGGCTCTGAGCGGCAGCTTGTTCTTCTTCCACTGCACCGACACTCCGGGTTTGGACAGTTCGCAGCACAGAGAAGCTGAACCTCCCTCCTCAGCCTTCACACTTTGTAGTTCTTCGATGAAATATGGCGGCAGCTCTGGAAAACAAGAAACGTTAGAGTTACAGAGTGGAATCTTCCAACATCTAAAACATCGTCAAGTTAAGACTAAATCATATGGAAAACACAATGATTTCAAATCTTCAAATCATGTAAGATTTACATGCAGATTTCCAGATTCACAAACCTTTCACGGACACAGTTGCAGACGTTTCTGCACTTCCTGCTTGACACGTGTAGTTTCCGCTGTCCTCAGACTGGAGATCCTTGACGTTGAGGATCAGGATGCAGTCATCCTGCTTCATCTCGTACTTCCTGCTGGCTCTCAGTGGCTGCTTGTTCTTCCTCCACTGCACTGAGACTCCAGGTTTAGAAACCTCACAGCACAGAGAGGCTGATCCTCCCTCCACAGCCTTCACGTTCTGCAAGTCCTTTTTGAAAAATGGTGGAAGCTCTGGAGAAGAGAAGAAAGTCATGAGGGGAAATGTTTAAGTTTAAAGTGTCAGACATTAACAACTGGGATTTTAAAAAAAGCATGCGATGCAAATAAAAATAAAAATCAATGTTTTTGCTGATACAGGCTATTCAAACTTCAGCCTATTAAAAGAAACGTTTTTCTTTAGTGTCGCAGCAAGATTTTGGCAATATGACGTCAGCCATTATTGGCTTCTGTCACTGGTCAGCTGCATTAGACGGTGTATCTTCCCGATGCTGTGAAATCAGTTGTGCAAATGTTCAAACCTTTCACTGTTACGGCTGCAGTAGTTTCTGCACCGTCTGCCTGACACGTGTAGTAGCCGCTGTCCTCAGGTCTGAGCTCTCTGACGTGCAGCTGCAGGATGCAGCCGTCCTGCTTCATCTCGTACTTTGTGCTGGCTCTGAGCGGCAGCCGGTTCTTCCTCCACTGCACTGACGCTGCAGGTTTAGACAGTTCGCAGCACAGAGAGGCTGAACCTCCCTCATCAGCCTCCACACTTTTTAATTCTTTCTTGAAGAACGGAGGGAGCTCTGGGGAAAAAGGTGAGAAGGACAAAGTTATACACCTTCTATAACATGAGTAAGATGTCAACAGGTCTGTAATAAATTAGTGCACAAATAGAAAAATGTGTTCGTCTAAAATAGAGTAAAAAACGGTAAAATCTTGTGCTTTTTTTGGACCCAAATGACTGAACAAAAGAAAAGTTTTTGCGCAACAGTTGATACGGGATAATTAAGACTAGCAGCTGGATTTAGGCAGCAAGAATATTAAGAATAATTTTGCACTGATGCCCTGAAATAGGACATTTTATTTATTCATTTATTTTACATTAAGTAAAATGTTTTTCTTGGTTTCTCAAATATATTTCACAATTATTAAATTTGTCATAAATTGTTGACGTTTCTGAACATCCAATCACTATCTTGACTTTTCTGTAACAGTAAACTCTGTCATTCCAGCTTCACAAACCTGTCACTGTCACAGCCGCAGTGGTTTCTGCATTTCCTGCCTGACACGAGTAGCTGCCGCCGTCCTCCAGCTTGAGATCTTTGATGCGTAGCTGCAGGAAGCAGCCGTCCTGCCTCATCTCGTACTTCCTGCTGGCTCTCAGCGGCAGCCGGTTCTTCTTCCACTGGACCGGCACTCCGAGTTTGGACAGCTCGCAGTACAGCGACGCCGAACCTCCTTCTTCAGCTTCTACACTCTGCAGCTCCTCCTGGAAGAACGGAGGCAGCTCTGGGGGAAAAGGAAAGAGTTGGTATAGCAAGAACGATTCATAAATGTGACTGTTATTCAATGAAATAAAAAAATAGTTAAATTAAAGCTTTGGAAGTAATTATTAGTCCACTGTGAGCAACGTTTTCTGCCTCTTTCTTGCAGTTCTTGGTGGAACCACACTGAGTTTTCTTTTTTAATGTTGTAAGTCAGCTGGTTTGATGATTCCAAACTATCTTACTTTATCTCTTTTTGTCTTGTAATCTCATAATTCCCTTCTTTGAGGTGCTGCTGAGGGTCGATTTAGTTCAGATTATCTGCCGAATTTCAACAGGTGCTAAATAATACCGACTCAAAAACAAATGTTTTCCCACCATCTGCCATGAATTTAGACATTTCTAGTATTAATCCTTTGTATTTATTGCATAAGTTATTGCAAGTATTTCATTTTTAGATGCAGTATTTCAGTTTTATGTGTAATATGTAATTTTTATTTGTGACATTTTGATTGCATGTGCAGTATTTCACTTGTGTGCACAACTTTGTCAATGCATTGTGCAACATTTCATTATCTTCTGTGACCGATTAGCTAAGTCTAATTGCCAGCATTATTTTTTACATTTTTATTCTAGCCTTATTTTAGTTTACTCTATTTTATGTCATTAATGTATTGTACATATATCTTACTGATGTTCTACTTTTTTGGCACAGCATTTCTTATGTTGTGTTATGTTTTTGAGCGATATTTTGCACAAGAATTTCCTTTGGGCTTATAAATTTTTAGCTTAACTTATTCTAAGAAGCTTTTCATGTCTTTTAGAAGACCACAGGAAAAAAAATCAAACAAAGTTATGATTCCTTAAGCCTTTTGTGTGGACTTTGTAAAGAAAACAGCAGGCGGTCTAATAAATATTTCTGTGTATGAATGTGAAACTAAATCCATCTTTTTAAATCACCATGACATTCTTCCTCATTTACCTGTTACAGTGAGTTTGGCGCTGCTCTGCACATCTCCAGTATCACAGGAGTACGTCCCGGTGTCCAGACAGTCCACGTTATGGATGAGCAGCAGGTTGACTTTTCCCTCCTTACGCATCTCGTATTTATCTCCGCTTTGCAGGGGGATGTGGTTGCGCCTCCAGGTTACCATGGTGATGAGGTCAGAGGTGGTGCAGCGCAGAGTGGCCGTCTCTCCCTCCATGACCACGGCGTCTTTGGGCTTCTCCTCGAATAAAACTAGAATTTAAAGCAAGATCCCACTTTAGAATATCAACCTGACACTTAAACTCAAAGTGCACGTTGCCTTCCTCGTGTTGCTGCTCACCTTTGGCTTTGGGGACGACCTGCAGACTCGCCGAGGTCCTCTCCTCCCCGACCACAAACGCCACGGTGCCGGTCTCCTCGGGCGTCGTCATGGTGAGGACCAGGCGGTGGTGCCGGCCGCGATACGTCATCTGGTTCATCTCGTTCTTCTGCAGGGGGCTGCCGCCGAGCCACCAGACGCCCTCGCTCACGTCGGCGTGGCTCAGCTCGCACACGAACACCGCGTCCTCCCCCGCCGTCACCGTCACGTCCTGCAGCTCGGCCACGATGCGAACGCGCTCTGTGGAGGAAGGAGGAGCTAGAATACAGCTGGCTTTTTAGACAATGGAACTTGTGATGGTTGCAACAACTTAACCGAGAAAGGCCAGGCCCGCATTTCCTACAATATAAACAAATTAGCCCAACAACTGAGTGAATGAATGAATGAATGGATGAATGAATGAATGAGATCCAGCTGCAGCGTCCACTCACCCCTCACTATCAGCTTGGCCGTGGTCTTCTTGCCTCTGGAGATGCAGCTGTACTCTCCGGCGTCCTCCAGGTTGAGCTTCTTGATCTCCAGAGTGTGCGTGGGGCCTTTCTTCTTCACGATATAGCGTCCTCCTTCTTCCACCACCACGTTGTCCTTCTTCCAGGAGACGGGCACGTTAGCGCTGGAAACCTCACAGGACAGCAGCGCAGACTTTCCCTCCATCAGCGCCTGGGTCTCCAGTTCCTTCTCGAAGAAGACTGAAGCGGCCGCTGTGGAAAGAAAGAAGATGTGATGATGCTAAAGATCTTTATGCAGATGACACAATGTTCTACTCAGCTATCTTTTTTTCTGAGGCAGGCTAGTAATGAGCTTTCATTAGTTGTAAGCATCATGGCATGATCTAAAGTTAGCTTTTAATGCTAAGAAAAAAGATCTTTTCCAGAACTTGCTACCAGATCTTGGATATTTATCAAATTTATACTTCAGGTGGGGATTAATTGAATTTATTGTTTCTGGGTTGATGATACTTTAATTAGATGTTAGAGTAGGGTCGACCAGAGTTAGAGCAACGTCTTAAGACAAAGTTTTTAAAAGTTCTTAAAGGAAAAAATTTAGAGAAATTTAGAACATTTAAATGTAAAATCTTTAAAATCTAGGAATATCGTATGGCACAAGTGATTTTGATCAATGCAAACTTGTTATTTAATGACAAAATTAAATTTATTTTATAAAATTTTACGTTGCTCTGACTTCAGCTGCAACAAAAATGTTTGATATTAACAAAAAATGTAATTATTGCCAATTTATTTTTGAAATGATGGACCCTTGATGTGAAGTAAAAGCAGTTTATTCAGCAAACGCATGAGGAAAAGTGTGATTATACTGTCTATGTGTGCATGTATACAAGTGTAAGTGACTCTCAGGGCAGTGTTTATGCAGCATCACAGCTGACGGATTAACAAGCTGAGCAGGGTTTTGTTCAATGTTTGAAACAGAACACACACAGGCAACAACTTGTAAAATCACCCAAATATGTACAGTTTAAAATAGACTCAATAGACTGCAACAAAAAATATGTAAACATACACGATATTTGCTTGGTGTACATGAACAAACCAGGAGCGTTTAAACTACCTCTGACGTTGACCTCCGCGGTGGTCTTCTGCTCTCCGAACATGCAGCTGTACTCGCCAACGTCCTCCGGCTGGATGTTTCTGATGCTCATCTCGGCGACCTTCCCCTTCAGACTCATCTGGTACCGTCCTCCGCTGTAGATCTGGTCCTCACCCTTCCACCACTGCACCGGCACCCCGGCCCTGGACAGCTCGCAGCGCAGCGACACGTTGCCTCCTTCAGGGGCCTCCTGGTTCTTCAGGCCCATTTTAAACGTGAGCGGAATCGCTGTAGGTGGAGGTAAAAGAAAAAAAATCTAAATTCACAAAAATGAAAACCTGCGCTGTAAAATTTTAACACTGGAAGCTTGTAGAAGACATATGTAATGAAATAAAGAGAGCAAACATGAAAGGAGGAAGGTCGGCACCATTTCAACAGGTTGTCCAGCTTCTGTGAAGTTTAAATAAAAAAGACATACGTGTGACGGTGACGTTGGCCGACGTCCTGGTGTCTCCGTACAAACAGCTGTACAGCCCGCTGTCCTCCAGCTGCGTGTTCTTGATGGTCAGCTCCATGACGCTGCTCCTGGCTTTGAGCTGATACTTGAAGTTGCTCTTGAGCAGCTCGTCTCCCTTCCTCCAGTCCACCGAGAGGCCTGGTTTAGAGAGCTCACAGCTCAGCGTCACGCTGTTCTCCTCCTCCACCTGCTGGTTCCTCAGCTTTGTCTTGAAGGTGACGGGTGGAGCTGAAACACCAACAAGGAGTTATTTCTCTTTGCTGATTTGTGTCTTTTAGTCTTGTTTCAATAATTATGTGAACTGAGGTTGAACTGTTTAGAAAGGAGGTGTAGTCACAAAAAAGAGAGAAAGTTTACACTGGAAAACAGGATTTTTTTTAAGCAATTCACTGTTATTTTACAGATTTTCAGGCTTTGTTAAATTGCAGATAACATCTAGTAAAATCACAGAAAAAAAGAGCATTGATTTACATATTAATTGTAAAATTTTGCTAAAATTATACATAATGGAAAATCTGTAACAGTAATTTATTCTTTTACAACATAAGACTATAGAATTACATTTTTAACAGCATCTAAATCAGCAAAATTATTATTATTTTATTTTATTTTATTTATTTTTTTACAAATATCAGCCATTTTGTAAAAGAAAAATCATATATATTAAGAATTAAGTATTAAAAAGACTAAAATTTTAAATAATGTCCACTTCAAAAATCTGAATCAGAAATATTTTAATAATCATTGAGAGGAAATTGTTTAAATTGAATTAAAAATGTGTGTTTTTACAAATAACTTCATTCTTTAAGACTGTTTGACTACAAAATTACAGGTTTTTTTTTTTTTACTGTATTTAAATGATCAATAAATATCATTTGACAGATATACATTATTTAAAATAAATTCTCAATTAAAACTATAAATGTTCACATCAAAAATCTGTATTTTCATCAAATTCCTTAACAGTGTTGAACATAATGTTACACTTTATGGCAAAAAAATAAATATATTCCAGACTTGCTGTCAGATTTCTAAATTTTTCTTTTTCCCCTGAATTTTTTTGACAGTCTAGATCATGTATTTTCATTATTATTATTATTATTATGGGATGCCTATTTAACCTTTGACCGTGAGCTCAGCAGTCGATTGGCTGTCTTTCGTCTTGCAGGTGTACTTCCCAGCGTCGCTCTCCTCCACGTTGTTGACGATCAGCTTGGTGAGTCGTCCCTCCTGTTTCATCTCGTATTTGTATCCGGGTTTCAGGATGACTCGGCCTTTCCTCCAGTCCACTGGAGCTCCAGGTTTGGAAATTTCGCAGCAGAAAGCTCCGCTGTCGCCTTCCTTCACCTCCAAGTTCTTAACCTCCTGCTCAAATGTGACAGGAAGAGCTGAGGATGGAAAGAACAACAACACATGTCAAATGTCTGTCTCACTGTGATGTTAAAGTAAAATCAGGTCTTTAGGTTTGCAGGTTAACTTCTGGTTTCAGTGATGAGACGATTATGATGAAGGTTAAAAATAGAAATCTTATGAAAAAAGAGATTCTCAACTAAGGAAATGCAGATTAAGCTCCAAGTACTTCTACGCGGGTCAATTTGACAGAATTTAGGAAATTTGTTGCTGCACCACTTCAGAGTTGATCAATTAGTTGTTTGGAGGTCAAAATGATGTTTTGCTACCATACCTGCCACACATCAAATTCTACTGATGCTAGAGGCCTTAAAAGTTGATGAAACGTCGACCAAAGACTATACTTTTGTAAGAAATATGGTTCTATTCATATATAAACACTTACAGGAACTTTCTGGGGACACAATACCAAATTGGTGTGAAAATGTTGCCTTTATTCCAGTTAGTAATCACTCATTCTTGTCATTCTTTGTCTCATTATTGGCAAGTGTCAAGTCAAAATTACAAAAAACTGGAACCTTGTCTTGCAATAGTTGTTTTACATCAAATTCTACTGATGTTAGAGGCCTTTAAAGTTGGTGAAATGTCCACCAAATACTGTATTTTTAGTAGGAAATATGGTTATATTCATATATATACACACTTACAGGAACTTTCTGGGGACTCAATACCACCTATGTTTGAAAATGTTGAATTTTTTTCCATTTTCAATTGCAAATATTATAAAATTTGTCCTCTGCTGGAGTTGTTTGACCATTTAGATCTGCTGGAAACTATTCTGCCTGTCTTCACAAAACTTCATGTTGGTGGAAGTTTTACTTCTGTAGATACTGAAGCCTAAAAGATTCCCACATTTTGCTTAATACGAGTAAAAATACAAAAATTCCAGGTCTAAAAAGGTATGAAATTCTCCAAATTCAGTCAAAATATTTCACAGAACTTAGTTTTGGGTTCCAAATAACAAATAAGTGAGTAAAATGTGACGAGGTGGCTGTGGGGAAACTTACCTCTCACTTTGATGTCAGCTGAAGTCACAGCTGATCCAACAGAGCAATTGTATTCTCCAGCGTCTGCCAGAGTTAAGTTCCTAATCAGCAGCTCAGCCCCTCGGCCTTCCTGCTTTAACTGGTACTTCTCTCCCTCCTTCAGGAGCTGAGCGTCTCTCCTCCACTCCACCGGGACTCCAGCCTTCGACAGTTCACAGCGCAGCGTCACGTATCCCTCCTCCACCGCTTCCTGGTTCTTCAGCTTCTGCTTGAAAGTCACTGGGATCGCTGAGGAGTGAATCAGAACTCTGAGTAAGACGCGCAAACTATAGAATCAGCTTCTGTCTTTCTGTAGCAGGCAGCAGGTCTCACCAGTAATGATGATGGTTGCGCTGGTTTTCACGTCTTCGCAGGTGCAGCTGTACGTGCCGCTGTCCTCGGGGACGCTTTTCCTGATGAGGAGCTCCAGCGTGGAGTCGCTCTGCTTCATCTGGTACTTCTCTCCGCTGCTCAGCACGTTGTCGCCTTTCCTCCACTGCACTGGGAAGCCTGGTTTGGAGAGCTCACAGCAGAGCGTCACTCCGTTTCCCTCCTGCACCTGAATGTTCTTCAGCTCCTGAAGGAATCTGATGGGACGCTCTAGATAAGTAAAGACAGGATAAGATGACATAAGAGTGAGGGAATTAAAGAAAACTAACTAAAGAAGCTAAAGAAACCAAAATAAACAGGTACTACTGATACTGCAAAGATTCTTCTTTATGCAGGGAAATAGGAAAACTGCACAGGTTTCGCTAAAAGTGGAAAATAATCATTTTGCACAACGTTCTTCTATATGTAGAAAAATTATGATATTGCACAGACTTTTCATTTGTAGAATATACTAGAAGCATATAATAACAAGCATGTTATACTATATTCTGTAAAACCTCCAAAAAAAGCTAAATTTCTTTGTTTACGTGCCAATTTTTTTTTAAAGACATTTTGTGTCCACAGGTGTTCCCGACACCAGAAGAAATGGTGACTCTGCAGATTATAGATATTTTATTAGTTATATTTTTATTTAGTTTCAGTACTCGTCTCTGAAAAACTGCAGTTTATCTGAAAACTTTCAAAATTATTATCAAGTGACTGTTGGTCACATCTGTGCCAATCATAGCTTCTCCTTTTTACTGAGAATACAGAATTTTTTTTGTTTTTAAAGAATGTGGTTTGAGAAAACTATTTTATTTATTTATTTGTTTTAAAAAATATTGCACAGATTCCTTTAAATGTAGAAAATAAAAACACAGGGCAGGGTTTTTGCACAGGTTTCTTTCATATTTAGAAAAATACTGATATTGCACAGACATTTCCTGTTTGTAGTAAAAATTAACAATTTAGAAAGTCCTCTGAAAAATAGAAAAAATGTGGTATAAATATAGAAAATATTGATAACAAACAGGCTAGAACGCACTGATTCTGCACCAGAGTGAAATATTTCCTCACTTCAAATTGACTGAAAACATTTTTGGTGATAATAAATGTTTGAAAAGTGAAATTAAAACACAAATATACTTTATTTTTTGCAATAATTTTCCAGCGTGCTTAATAATAATTGAAAAGCTATGCACAAATAAAATAATACCTTATTATTATATAGAGTATAGATTAATCCACACAGTCTAATCTGCTGCACAGAACTTCACCTAAATGAATAATAATTGCACTGTCTTTCTCTTTTTGCATAGATTTCCTCATTACTTTCAAAATCATCATCTTTTGCATGTTTCCATCTTCTTTCCATATTTATTGTGTATTAATGAGTTCTTTAAGCACTAAAATAACAGAATACAGCTGACTATGATGAAAGCACAACCCACCGTTCACCACGATCCTGGCGATCGTCGTCTCTTCTCCACATATGCAGGTGTAATGTCCTGCGTCGTCCACGCTGAGGTCTGCGATCTTCATCTCCACCAGCAGCTCTTTCTTCCTCATCTGGTATTTGTCTCCGTTCTTCAGCAGCTCTCCTCCTCCTCCTCCTCGCCTCCACTCCACCAAGGCGGCAGGTTTGTTGAGCTCGCAGCGCAGAACCACGCTGTTGCCTTCGGTCGCCTCCTGGTTGACCAGCGGCAGCTTGAAGCTCGGAGGCAATTCTGTCGACAGCGAAACAGACAGTCAAGAGGCAGCAGCAAGAAAACTAGAATCACCTCCCAATCATGGACGTGTACGGTTAGAATTAAAGGTCAGAGGACAATAAATAACCCATAGGAGGGTTGTTTGATGGTACGTGGTAATAGACAAAAAAGATGGAGAAACATCTCAACAACAACAGATATTCAACAGAGGAACCATGGGGGAACAATGATCACAGAAATGATAATTAAATGCATCAATGAATGTCATAAATATTCAACTGCAGCAGCAGATTGATGCTCACAAAAAGTGGCATGCTCATATTCATATATATTTATTAACCCTCTGAACACCAAGCGGTTTTATGGTTGTTATGTGCTCCTGTCACATTTTTCCTCTTTGTGTGTAATGTATAGTTTTTTTAATGCAATATAATGAAAAATAAAAAGTCCTGCACCTCTATGACAACAGAGCAACGACTGCTAGAAGTCAGAAATGTCTCCTGTGCAGGATCACACGGTTATAATGCATAAATCATTTCCTAAAAGTAGATTTTTAAAAACTTTATTGTACAAAAATTGAAAAAAATCAACATGTCCAATATTTTTCCAAGTGCACACAGATGTTACCAATAATGAAAAAAAAAGGTGAATCTGCAGACAATGGATATTTTACTGTTTATATTCTGTTGTGAACACAGCCTGAAACAGTTCACCTAAAAACTAAATAATTAATGAAGTGACTGTTGGTCACAGCTGAAACAGAGAATTTTTAGTTTTTTTTACAGAATCGGATAAAAGCAATCAATTTATTTTTGCTACATTTTTAAACTGAGACATGTAGAATAACGTGGGTTTGATGAAATATCACAATTTCACGGTAAGATTTTTAGGATTTTCCCAACATAACTGCCTGTTGCAATTGATGTGTTCTTAGGCAGACAAAAAGCTGCAAATCTACTGTGATAAAAGCTGTAATTGAAAAATTATTAAAAATGTGAACATATCTTTCAAAGCTAGCAGTGGGTTTTGGAGTTCAGAGGGTTAAATTTATGAATGGATTTTGTGTACTAATGGCTTATAATGAATAACGTGATTATTATATTACAATGGATCACGTAGTAATCCATTATTAAATGACTTTAATGAAATAAAACTAAACACTACTGCTACAGTTTAATGGAGGAGAAAACGTCTCCTGTCTAAACACCCAAAATGTTTTCACCGAACAATGAAGACGCAATGTACAGTGCATACAGAGTACTGTGACATTAAAACATTAGTGGAAAAAAATGGGTGATGTGAAACGATCGTCTCTCCATTAGGGTTTCGAGAAACTGCCTAATGGAGCTCACAGAGTGCTAACACTGACTGGGTCTATGCTATCTTTGAGGCTGACCTCTTTGACGTCTGCGCTCGCGTGATTCTGTAGATATAATACATGACAAGTGTGAAAAAAAAGGATCAAATGTGCTTCTGAAGTCATAAATCAAACATACAGAGTCTGGGGGGAGTATCTCCACCTCACCTTGGACCGTGAGCTCAGCAGTCGATTGGCTGTCTTTCGTCTTGCAGGTGTATTTCCCAGCGTCGCTCTCCTCCACGTCGTTGACGATCAGCTTGGTGAGTCGTCCCTCCTGCTTCATCTCATACTTCTCTCCGGGCTTCAGGATGACTCGGCCTTTCCTCCAGTCCACCGGAGCTCCGGGTTTGGAGAGTTCGCAGCAGAAGACGCCGCTGTCGCCTTCCTTCACCACCAGACGCTGCAGCTCCCGTTTAAATGTGACGGGAAGAGCTGTTGTGGGACGTTAGAAACACCTTGATGCAAACTAGACGAGCTTTTTGTAGTAATAAAGAGGCCTTAAGCTGTCCAACATTTTCATATCACAGTTATGGGATTCTGGACTTTAATAGTAATTGTGTGAACTGAAAATCTATGACAGCATCCAGTGGCAACATGTTTTGCAAAGTTAAACATTCAAAAATTAGGTCTAATAACCTCATTAGTTCTACTTTACTTTAAGTAAATCAGTGCGATTTGCTCATTTCCACTTAGTTGAAGTTAAAATGCCTGTTTCGTACTTTCAGTTGACTTTATAGATTAAAAACAGAGTTCTCACACCTTCAGACATTGTGACATAAAATGATAAGTTGAATCAATGAACAGTTAAGTCTTCAGTCAACTCATTAAATTAAGTTTATAGAAACTAAAGTACCATTTAAAGCCCAGCGTGTGTTACTAGAAAGACAAACATCTGCAGAAATACTTGTTGTTTGTAGTTTGAGAAAACAGACAAAGTAGAAACTTGCTGTGTGTCTTTGTTAAATTAGGTTCTGGTTATTTCTGTTTATGATATTTAAAATTGACAAAGGCTAGTACTGAAATCAGTCCTTAAATTTGGAGGTTTATAATTTATTTCAGTGTAACTAGGATCAGCCTCACAGGTTGTCTTTACGCTGACTCAGGTCAGGAGTAGTTTCAACAGTTCAGACTAAGTTCTCAGAGTTAAATGAGGAAGAAACTCTTTAAACTTAAAAAAAAATGACAAAGAAAAGTGATTCTATCTGCAGCTGTTGTCTATGTGACGAGTTGATTCAAGTTAAATTCTTAAGTTTCTGAACTTGTTTTGTCCAGTTGAGTTAATTTAGTTCTGCTAGTTTTACACTTTCACAAGATAACTTTGAGCTAATTTATCAACCAGAGTGCAGTTAACTCACATTTTTAAGCTGAATGAACTCAACATTATTTATAGAGCAGGTGCATGACTCAAGTTTTGGAAGGTAGAAAAATAAGTCTTAGGCACTCATAATAGCTCTGTTTTCAAAATGAAAAGAAAGATCACTGTTTTCGTCTCACTTACGTTTCACTTTGACTTCAGCGGTGGTTTTCTCATCTCCTGTGATGCAGCTGTACTTTCCTGCGTCTTCTGGTTGGACGTTTAAAATGGTCATCTGAGCCGTCTTTCCTTCCAGCTTTATCTGGTATTTGCCCCGAGAAACCTCCTCAGAAAGCACCTGAGCCTCTTTCCTCCACTGGACCGGGACTCCCTTCTTGGACAGCTCACACTGTAAGGTCACGCTGGTCCCTTCCTCGGCCTCCTGACTCTTCATGCTCACCTTAAAGGTGGCGGGAACCGCTGTGGAAACGGATGCAGCTTAAAACACAGGCAAGAACATCGAAAGCCACCAGCTACCCTGATCTCAATGAAGATTTTGACCTTTCCTCTTTCTTATAGTCAGTACATGGCAAATTAGGTTTTTTTTGGTTTGTTTTTTTATCTCCTTGAGTTGATATTCCACTTTTTTTTTTCCTTTCAAGGCCCCATAGATGTGCTCAGTCTGGTTTCTTCATTGATAAAGATGTATATTGATACCGTCACTGTGGTTTTATCTTATCTGACTAACGCTGGACTCAATATTTGTTTCCTTTTGTGGATTTTATCCTCCATTACTGCAACACCCTTAACAAAGAAAGTGTTTTTCAGCTTCTTGTAAGAGGTTTAGTGTTTCTCGTATTGCATTTGTTGCCTCTAAAGGTCAGAGACAGAACATGATGCAGGCTGTCAGTTTCTCTGTGTTTTTAAATGTTTCCAGCTCACTAAAATGTCTGTTGGATCTGGATTTTTTTTTTTTAATGCCATTGTTACAGTTCTAGTTCTTCCACCCTTCTTTACACGTACCGACAACTTTAACGGTGGCCTTGGTCCTCTGCTCTCTGCACACACAGGTGTAGACGCCGCTGTCCTCCGGTGTGGCATCTGTGATGGTCAACTCCAGCACCGAGGCCCTCTGTTTGATCTGGTACTTCTCTCCGTTCTCCAGCCGGTCTCCTCCGAGCCTCCACTCCACCGGGACTCCGGGTTTAGAGATCTCACAGCACAGCGAGATGTTGTTGCCTTCCGCAACTTGAAGGTTCTTCAGCTTCTGCTTGAAGGTGATGGGAAGAGCTAAAAGACAAAGCCAGGTGGTGAGATCGAGAACGGAATAATCTACAAATTATTAAAGGATTAGACAAAAAGTTGCTGCAATTTCTTTCTTGGCAGTGCAGGGAGGAGTGGAGCATCTTCTAGAGGTGTTCTTGCCGACCTGAGTTCAGACAGCTTTTGGTCAATCTGCTCTCTGAGTTAAAGCAGTGGAAGCCCATCCCCACAATCACCAGAGATTCAGGAAGCTTTGCAGAGTTTGAAACATGCCTCAAAGTTTTGCTTCACGCAGCACAAAACTGTCACCACCTGGGATTTTCTTTTAATCTATTACATTTACATACTTTATTTCTCAGTTTCTCAGTTAAAGCTGTAAAGAAGCAGAATTTAGTCCCCTCAAATATTAGACATTCAGGAAGCTTTGCAGTGTTTAAAACCAGCTTCAAGGTTTGGTTTGTAATCAGCATAAAGTTTTCTCCTCCAATAGTCGCCTTTTATTCGTTGTATTTACTGATTATATTTATTATCTCACACTGATACACTTTCAGTTTTCTTTTATTTGATGTTGTGTATTAATCATTCTGTGGCTGTTTTCTTTTCCTGTACCTGCTCAGGGATAACTGATGCAAATTAGCTGCTAGCTAACTCTGGTGTGGTTAATTTTAATTGTGCGTCATCCCTTCAAAAAAAAAGGAATAAATTAAATCATTGAAGTAAGTATAAACAAGAATATGATGCACAGCACCTACATCATTATTTGTGGGTTCGTCGTGTGCGGATTGTGTCTAAAAGTGATCAAATCTAAAGAAGCTGAATGAGACTAAATTAAAATAAATATAGTTAATGAGTTGGTGATTCTAAATTGTCCGTAGGTGTGAATGTGAGTGTGCTTGGTTGTCTGTCTCTAAGTGTAGCCCTGTGATAGACTGGCTACCTGGTGGCCTTCACCCTGAGTCAGCTGGGATAGACTCCAGCCCCCCATGACCCTAGTGAGGATTAAGCGGTGGATAGATAATGGATGGATGGATGGATGGATGGATTGTAAATGAGGAACTTTACCATTCACGGTGAGAGTAGCGGTGGTCTCGATGTTCCCGCAGATGCAGGTGTAGATGTCGCTGTCCTCGAGTGTCACATCGAAGATCCTCAGTTCGATGAGCATGTCCCTCTGCCGGATGTGATGTTTCTCTCCATTCCTGATCAGTTCATCCCCTCGTTTCCTCCATTCTACAGTGTGGCCTGGTTTAGAAAGCTCACAGCGAAGCGTGGCGGTGTTTCCCTCCTCGATCGTCACGTTCCTCAGCTTCTGTTTGAAGGTGACTGGAAGAGCTGAGGAGCAACGTACGACCACGGATCAGACAAATGAGTATGTAAAACTAGTGAATCTTTGATTTTATTGGTAAATTATCTCCTACCAGTGATTTTAATGTTGGCAGACGTCGTCTGATCGGCACACACACAGCTGTAAACGCCGCTGTCTTCAGGCACAGGCTTCCATATCAGCAGCTCCAAGGAGGTTTCCCTTTTCCTTATCTGGAACTTCACCCCGTTCCTCAGCAGCTCGTGCTCCTTCCTCCATTCGACAGGGATTCCAGGTTTGGAGATTTCACAGCGCAGTATGACACTGCTGCCCTCCTCTGCTTGCATGTTCCTCAGCTGCTGTACGAATGTGATGGGAATAGCTGGAAAACAGACGAAGAGATAAACGAGTCAGGTGGAAATGAAGCCGTATTTCTGAAAAGAAGATGTAAAAATAATGTGCCTTGTCCATAGACTCCAATGTACAGTAGAGGAAGTCAATTAACAGAACCATGTGATAACTTTGACAGATCTGAGAGGAGAATGCAATAGTTCAATAATTTACTAAACATTTCAGTCTAAAATAATAACTCACCGTGATATCTCAGACTAAAGTGTCCATATGGGCAGAAATATGGGCCACTAGAAATTAAATATTAATAAATTTGAAGCTCAACTTGAATAATAATAACTTGAAAATTCAGCTATTTACATTCAGGTTTTATGATTCAAATTCAGCTCTTAGTGCAAGTAATGCAAAAAAAAACAAAAAAACAACAACTTTGGAAACACCTAAAATGCGTAACATAAAATGCATGTGCAACAAAGAGAGCTTTACCGTGCACTGTGAGACTTGCTCTTGTTTGATGGTCTCTGCACTGGCAGGTATAATCTCCTGAGTCCTCGAGCTTCAGAGCTTTGATGGTCAGAGAGTTGATGGTCCTCCTCTGTTTAATCACGTACTTGTCTCCAGCTCTGATGCTCTCGAAACCTTTCCTCCAGTGGACCTGGACTCCAGGCAGAGAGTATTCGCAGGTCAGAGTCACGGCCTCCCCTTCTTTGGCCTCCATCGTCTTCAGCAGCTGCGTGAACTCTGCTGGGATGGCTGCAAAAAGACAGAAACGAGGGGAGGGTTACTTGTTATAACTTTCCTATATAATCTTAATCTATCAAAACAATCTAGTTCATAGTAAGTAATGAGCATGTGGTAACAACAGGTAATGAAATCTCACACTTTTTGATTTAGTTTTTGCAACTCTAAAAGTGTTCACAGTATGACGTTAAAACTTTGCTTATTTGATGACCCCTGAGGTCATCTTGTATCTTGTGGGTGGTCCTAGTCCATCTATTGGTTCTGTGAGTGGCTGTTTGATGTAATTAGGAGCACCTGTGATACCCAATGTGTTCCTGGGTTACTTACAGGCTAACTGCAGTCTAATCGCTCTTTGTTTCCCTCCGCAGGTAACACACCGGTCTGGTTATGGGTTAGTTTTTTCATTAGGATGTTTGCATTTACAACACTTGCACAGACAATAATTCATGCATGCATCCCACACACACTTGACTGAGTATGTATTCTCACAACCACATACTGGTTTGGCTTTTAATTCGGTGTAATGTAAGTGAATAAAGACAAGCTTTAATTTTGAAGCTTGGTGTGTCTCTCCTTTTGTTGTGGCCATCTTGAGCCAGGTCATAACACATGACTTCATTAAATATGTGAAAAGTATTGTGCATAAAAACTAATTTGCTTCTAAGGGAATCAGGTGGGAATTTTTTTCATCAGATTGTGTTGCTTTTCTTAGGACTGACCCTCCTCTTCTTACCTCTGACAGTGACAACAGCCCTGGTGGTGACAGATCCAGCACTGCACTCGTACACCCCAGCATCACCGCTGCAGACCTCCCGAATGGTGAGCCGAGCTTCACATCCGGATCTGCTGGCAAAGTATCTGGATGAGTTCCACATCAGGCAGCCGTCTTTGTACCACAGGATGTGACACGGCTTGGAGGCCACACAGGACAAAACCAAACCGCCTCCTTCGATCGCCTCGCAGTCCTCCAGCGACTTAATAATGGTGGGACGCCTCTCTGGTGACGTGAAGAGATGGAGCTCAATCAATACCGGATGAAATGTGACAATTAACAAGACTTTAAAAACTGATATGAGGGTCGAAGCTTCACCTCTAACCAACAGCGAGGCGTAGGATCTTTTGTCTCCGGCTGCAAACGAAATAGTGCCGGTGTCTTTGCGGGCGAGCTGCCTGAACGTGAGGGTGTGGTATCCTCCAGGAATCATCTGGATCTCGTTGAGCTCGTTGGTGTAAAGCAGCGTCTCGTCCAGATACCACTTGACGCCGGCATAGTCGCTGGGACAAATCCGACACCTGAATGTGACCGTGTCGCCTTCGAGACACTCAACGTCTTCTAGCTCATCCAGAATACACACCTTCTGACCTGAGAGGTGGAAAAGTCAAAACTCTCATTAACACCACATGCAGTCAGAACATTAACTGTATTTATTGCACATCAGACTCAATGAATTAGCATTATGTATGTATTTAACCATCATACTGGCAAAATATTTCTGCCTATTTCAGCCTGTTTAAATTAAAGTAATGTACAACCTGGATGTAAAATCTTGAATTGGGCAAGCTAAGAAATTTCAGTTGTTTGCACATAGATCACAATTTCTTAAAATTTAGAATAATTAGTTGGGGTGACAAAGGAGACACTGACAAAATAGGAAAAAAATCTGCTTCATACTTTAACTATGAACAAGTTTTTTAGTTTTAACAACAAAACATTTTAGTATAAAACGACCAATAAAACCAACAATCCTCTTTTGATATCACAAAAACACAAAAATAAAAGTGGTTTGAACTGAGAACTGTTGAATTCTTTTGTAATATTTACAGTAGTTATGAAAAAAATAATAATAAATTTGCTAAACAATGCATGTTTTATTAAACTAACATATCTTTATAGGGCAGCCAGGCTACTCTTCCAGGAACAGTTTACATTTAAAGTTCACTAAATAATGTAAACTGTGTTTTCTACTCAAACTAATTATGTTTCCTAACAGGCCCACCTATAATTGAGTCAATAATATCAAAGAACATACAGAGTATTTCTTAAATCAGTTGAATTATTAATGGCAATGAAATCGATGAGCTGTTATTTTCTTAAAATCCCTGGTATTTACTCCAAAACATACAAGAAAACAGCTGAAGTATATATCATAGGTTGCGCGTTCCTGTGTATTTTTGCAGGATCTGCTTATACATGGTTCAATAAACTAAGAAATCTGTATCGCAGGAATGACTCTGGTTAAGCAAAACTTGATAAATTAAGTTCATCCAGTACTAACTTGAGGTTGCATAAACCTCAAATCCATTTGAAAACATACATAAACTATATATCATACATCAGCTGTATTTTCCATCACATCTTTCAATATTTTCTTAATTTAAATTAATTTGTGCCGACAGCTAGACCCGACTATTCCAGATGCTTGAGTCGTGGTGATGCAACCTCACCCTGCACCGTCAGCTGTGCTCGGCTCTGCATGGTACCGACATCGCACGTGTAAATATCGGCGTCGGATTTCTCCAGACAGGTGATGGTCAGCGACAGCACCACGCCCTTCTGCCTGATGACGTACTTCCTGCCGGCCCTCAGCTCCACCATGCCCTTCAGCCAGGTCACTCGCTTGGCCGGCCGCCTGGTCTCGCACTCCAGGGTCACCTTACTCTTCTCCTCGGCTCGGGTTTCTCTCAGCTCCCTCGCAAATGTGTGCTGGAGCTCTGAAATGAAGAGGGAAGTTTGGAAAGCTTAGATTTTTTTTTTTTTAGAGCTACTGTTGCTCAACCACTCAGCAAAATGTAAATATCTAAACTGGAGAAGGTTTGAACAGGTCAATGGAAACTCAAACAGATGTATGGGTGAAGATAAATTAGCACCTTTCCTTGTGCGCCTCATTGACCGCTCAGTCGCTGAATTTCTGATTTTTAATCTATAATTTATGTGTGGCTACATAAAGGTAATGATCCCAGCGACTAGCATCTGATTTCATTCATTTTGCTGCTTACAGAAAACTCTGGAGTCCCAACTGTCAGGATTTAAATC